GAGAAGAGGGTTGTCAACGAGTTCAAACTTGTGGAATTTTTGTCAAATTGCATTGATTAACCAATGCTCTTGCATCTTCCGGACAGGTTGTGAGAAAACAGTGATTGTAGTTAATTTTTAGTGAGTGTCACGTAGTTGATAATTGCTCTGATTCATAATATTATTATATTCTCTTTCCTTCACTCATAGCAAAACAAGCTTAATTTGATTTATATCCTTAGGAAGAAGAAAAATAACCCTAAGATTACTCACATGGCTGTGATTCAGCTTTTGGCTCCTTCCTCTTTCCTTCTCCTCTTCTCCTGCCCTTCTCCTCCTACCCTGCCCACTCCTGTATTCACTCCCACCCACGATGTTGTTGTCATCAAAGAAATGAGTCAGATCGTTCTTAAACGGGTGGGGCAGGAGATAAGTAATAAAAAATTTTCTGAGTGAAGTATGCGGCTTCTGTATAAAATCATTTCAAGAAGACAGGCAGTTCCTTATATGACATGAAAAGCTGAGTCCAGTCCTCATCAAGACATGATCCCAGTGTCTTATATGAATCTGTGTAGTTTGTGTGCATGTTTGTAGAGTTGTTCCCATAGCATAGCCATGGAGGCAAGTTCCTCTGAGATAATTCTGATAGTGGAAATTTTATATAAACTATATACGAAGCTAATGTGCTCTCAAAGCAGAGTACTTTGCTAAACAGTGAGTTTTCTTTTGTTTTGCTTTGGAGACAGGATCTCATTCTGTAGCTCAGGGTACTATTGAACTTTGTGTGCCTCCTGCCTTTGCTTCCCAGGGCAGGGAGTTATAGGCATGTGTCATCATACCTGGCATTATTTGCCTTCAAGTGAACAGTATCACTCAGAAGCTTGAGGCTGTTCTTCCTACCCTTGGAGTGGAAAACAACTATTGGGGGTGGCCGCTTACCCATGGTGATGTGGTGAGCATTATGGATGCAGCGATTTCTATTTCTTTCTTGTATTTTCTTGCTTATGTCCGTTCTCCAGGTGATGAAAAACAGAAAGGAAGTAAATCTCACATTCCTTCAGGCATTGCTCTCCCAGTGCCAGTATTGGATCTCTGACTGTCTGTGTTCATCTTGAACTATAGTTGAGGTTTCTGGAACTGACAAAGTCAGATTATTTGGTAATTTGAGTTGCTGACAGAGAGGCAACTCTGTGCTGCTTCTCCAGATCAACTTTTAGTGCAGAGCTTAACAAGATCTGTGCCTCTGACCCAAGCTGCCATGCAAAGGTGTGAGTCTGAGCCTTCTCCCACTATTCATTTGTAATTCAAACCACCCTCTCTTCCTTATGCTCTTTCTCCCCCATCATGTTAAAGAGAAGTTGGAGCAGTTGCCTGACCTTCAACAGAGCAGGGTAGTTGAGGATCTGCCTACTTGTACAGTATGCTCACACCTCAGATGCTTGCTGTCCTTGTTAGCATTCTTTACGTCACACGCTGACTGGAAACTGTTAGCTTTCGTTACCTGAGGCCTCGTGCAGTGGTTAAACTGCTACACATAGCATTTTCTTGCTACACAAGAAGCATTCAGCTTCTTGTACAATTTTCTAATTATCTAACAGAGAATGTATACTGAGGCTTTCCACCCAACTGCCCGAGTTTCCTTTAGGGTAAATGCAGTGGGGTTTTGTGTTGTGGTCTTATGAATAAAAAACATAAAGCAAAGGAGAAGACATGAGTACTTTTTCCTGGGTCTGTGCTCTTCTTTATCCTTATTGGGTGCTGTTTGGAGGTAATAGACAGTGCTCTGCTCTGCCCTGAGCCGGGCTATTAATGTCCTGCCAATTCCTTGACTCAGTTATCTTTTCCTGGCTGGTAACAGTGCTAATATCTTGACCCATCTGGGCCAACTAGAATGTGAGTTCTGTATTTTGTTTGTTTGTTTTGTTTTAATTTTGAGGCAGGGTTTCGTGTAGGCTGGCCTTGAACTAACTCCTTATCCTCCTGCCAGAGTCCCACAACCTTCCCGCTTCCTGCAATCGCTGAGATGGCAGGCCTTTTGCCACCATGCTTGGTTGTGAAGGGAGCTTTTGAATGACCTTTCTCTGACTGGTTCCATCTGGTTCCTAGCTCCCTTCTGCAGTGACTTTAGGAGATCCCAGAAAATGTGGTGGGAAAAGTCCAAACAGATACTGAAATTCTCTGCTGAAGTGAAGGCTTGGTCAGGTGTTCATCATCAATATTAAGTAGTTTTATGTGTTTTTTTTTTATGACAGAATAACTCTGCTGGGTGTGTCTCAAACACTGTTTCCAAGGCTTTTCAGTTCAGGAGCACAGGATGAGGGAATCAGGACTGAAACACTAGCTGTTCTCCAGACTTTTAAAAGATGTTAAAGGTCTCTTCAGATACCAGAGTTTTGGTTGTATGATTTTATTAAAGTTCTGTATTTCCATGGAAAGCTTTGTAATTATAGATCTGATGCTGTCTGTGTACCATAGGGAGGTAACTGTTTTTCAGTGGCTAGATTAATATATCCCTGCTGAAATACGAACAAGTTTTAAAAACTAGTTGAGGAATGTTCTTGTAGTTAAAATAGACTTGAAATGTATAAATTGGAAATACACTTCCAAATAGTCTGTTTAGATTTAATTTCTAAATACCGATTCTATATGAAAATTTAGAGTGGTGTTTATTCTAGTGAAGTCTTTCAGGGGAATTTTTAATAACTGAGTGATCAACCTTAGAATTAGCTTTTTTAAAAATATTATTTAAGTGTGTGGTATGTATTGTGTGTCTTCATCTATGAGTTGGAAAATTGCTATCTGAATATTGTGTTATGTTGTAAAAATAGAATGTATGTCCTACCTAACATAACTAGTTATCCATCAAGATTTAATCAACAGTAAATGCTAAGCCTCTGTCAAAGCAGTTGTCGACTTTGGTCAAGGTTAAAGGAAGTATGCTGAGAAGAGATAACTGTAGTTCAGCTGCTTGCATGAGCCTTGCAGATTTTGTGTGTAGGGAATTGCACTCATTATTCCACTTCTTCCTGTCTACGTGATACCTGGTAACAATTGACTCCATGGAATGCCACTCCCATCATGCTAGTTACTGAACCTTTTACTGAAAAGTTGATTTTTAAGCAGTTTATTTGGGATTTTCCCCAGAGACCATTTGGTGACTTTCAAGTTTTTGCCTTTGGCTTTTAAATAAGTTGATACTAAAAGACTGAGATGTTGGGGCGGGGCGGGGTCATTGTCACATTTGTGTTTCTATGTGAGTGACTCAAGTTAGTACGAAGTGCAGTACATACAAAAGCGAAAGCCTCTTACACGTCTCTCACATCCCTGACCACTTCCTGAAGAAGCTACCACATGGGCCCCAACACGAGAGTTAAACCGGGTTCCTCCACTGGTGAAGACGTGAGGCAGACTGCACATTTCCCCACTGTGTAAACGAAAATTTCCAGCACATGGTTCTGTAACATTACATATTAGGGAGTGGGGCCAGAGCTTCACTGAGGCTTCAGAAATAATCTTGGAGCTTTCTTGTTTACATGACTTTGAAATCTTTTAGAACGTGCATTGTGATCTTTAAATGTACAAATTAGAAAAGAAAAAAAAAGTGATCTTGTCAGATCAACTGCCACTGCCAGTCTAATAAAACTGACTCATATCCAAATGGCTGTGCTTACACTCCCCTCCCATTCTGGGGAAAATGTGGCCGGGGGAGGCAGAGTGAGTCATCACCTGGTTTGTTTGACATATGTTTCCTTCCATAAATTGGGAATGGCAAGCAGCACAGTGCTCTGGGCTTGCCTCGGAGAAATGACTGTTGCAGCTTTGCTGGAGCAAAATGGGGTGTCTGGTTTGGACAGATGAAGCTAAGCCCGTTTTTTGACTTTAAATGCCAGTGGAGGGGGAGAAGAAATGGACAGATCCGAACAAGGAACGCTTGTAAGTACCATTTTCAGAGAATGGAGAAATGGAAGGGTGTTTGTGGTTGAATTTCTTCCCGAGGTGGTATTTACGAGAAATTGGAGGTATTAAGAATGAATTGGCAGCTACTTCACGAAGTGGGCTTGTTTATTTAATAAGAGTGTGCTTTGTATGGACAGAAGAAAATGGACAGGGAAGGGGGATATGATTTGTAGCTAGCATAAGGATTTGTCCTGATGATGCTTAAACTTGCTTACGGTTTACAACTGTTTTAATAAAACATGTTTGCCTTAGGATTTTTTCTTGGGCCCTTTAAGGGAAGGAAAGAGAGGCTTATGCCCCTTTCCCATTTCCCTACAGTGGTTCTCCGAGGCTCTGTAGAACTGTACAGAAGGAAGTTTGGAACGTAAACTTTTCAGCGAGTCTGGTAGAGGCAGGATGAGCCGTACATTTGCAGCTGAAGTGCGTTTTTAAACTCAGCCTCTGCTTTAGGATTATTTTTTAATACATGCCAGACATTCTTCTGATTTCTAGCCTGCCTGGATCTCGGCTTCTCTGTCTGCGTGAGGCTAGGGTGTTACTTGTTTTAAAGCTTGAATTGTTGCAGCCAGGGCGTTTTCTGTTTCATCTTGCCCCCCCCCCCCCTTCCTGAATGAGTGTCCTTTGTATAACCCCAGTAATTCAGAAATCCTACAGTCATAGGGACTGCCCTGTCATGTGACTTAGGTACTAGGTGTTAGTTGTGATTGGTCAGCAGCTAATTGGTGGGTCCGTATAAGAAGTCCCGGGTCAGGCGATTTTGTCCACTGTCTACTCAGCCCCAGACTGCTGCTCAAGATGGGTAGGGTGCAGGTGGGATCTGTCTACTGATTCCTCCTGTGATAGATGATGAAGTAATTGCTGCCCCGGGGTCTGCACACCAGTGGAAGACACTCAGATTACTTGTGGCTGATTTGATCAAACTGGCTTCCTGAACTGGTAACTGTCACTTTAATGTAGCTTACTGATTAAACTGAGAAAAATGTAACTGAAAATGTGTGCCAAGAACTTGTGTGGACTTATTCCCTGTCTCCTCTTTCCCCTTTGTCTGATTCATTTTGTCACAGGAATGAAACGCAGATAAGTCGTTAGAAAACTTTTCGAGGCAAAGCGCCTTGTGTGACCAGAACAAAGCCGTTTTATAATCAGATTTACCAAGCTGAGAGCGAGTTTCGGGCAAACGGAAGCTGCAGTGTTCTGTCACCAGGAAACACTGCATTTTCTAGAATCGGTAAGTGAAAAGTGGCATTGTCCCTAATAAATATCATATGGTGTGTGGGAGAACTGCAAAATTGTTCACAGACCTTTAACAATTGTGTAAAACAGAAAATATAACATGAAAGGTAGGAATTTTAAAAGCAGGCAGCCCTACAGTATAGCATAAAGGCTGAGAAGGAACCAGGTAATTAAAAAAATGAGCTGAGTGTCACAAGTGCAGCCAAATACGTACTGTAACTAGGTCTTAATTTTTGAACCTGGGCTCCTTTTCAGTGGAGGAATGTATAAAATCAAAATGAGTTGCTGCATGAACTTTCCATGGATAAAAATTTGCATTCATTCTGACTAGCAAGTTGAAATTTGAAGAGATACTTTCAGAATTAGTCGGCTCCTTTCCCTCTCTATTGTGCCGAGTGCTTTGTCTAGATCTTTACAAAATGAAAGTTGAAGCATGCACCCAAAACATCTGATTGTGAGATGTAGATTCTGATGGTCATGGATTTTGCTTTGCATTTATATACCAATTTTGAAATTCTTCTATTTGATTAAATTAATAAAGCGAAAGGGTACCTTTTTCCATAAAGTCCATAACATTTGAAGTTGGTAATGAGCAACTTCATTCATGTAGTGCCTTTGTGTCTGGCTTCCTTTCCCTGAAACCTGAAATTTTTTCAGATTTTGAGTCTGAGCTGTTCCTATGCTTAAGGTTTCCAGAAAAAGACAATAGCCTTTGAATACCTATATTCCTAAAAACAGTAAGATGGCACAGTTTTATATTAAATGTGAATGTTTGATTGCTTGGTTCTGCTGAATAAAGATTGTAAGAAAGGTTAAGCACAACAAGCAAAGATTAGATAGTGGGTGGCTGCTTGATTTTTACCAGTTTCTTATTGGTCAGTTGAAGTAATCATGTGATATATACTTATATAGAATTAGAGAGAAAATATTTTAAGTGTCAGTAATTATATAGGTATTCTGGGCAATCTTCATTTATGAATATAAACATGTAATTATGTCCTATGAACAGAATTGTGCTTTGAATTTTAGAGAGTGTAATATTGTTTATTTTGTGTTAAGTATCTCCAGCTAAATTAAAAGTCGGGCAAACATGTTTGACTTCTGGTTCTCATTCTGCTGCTTTTGAAATTATAAAATTTCCAACTTTAAAAAAGCAAGTTATAACAGGATAGCAAAACTACAGGCTCGCTGTTAGTTGAGTGGGGTACGGATGGGGAGGAGGAAAATGAGTACAGTAGATTCTGCAAATCCCCCCCCACACACTTTACATACTTTGAGGGTTTGAAGATCATTTGTCTTCAGCTCATAAGTAGCTCCCAAGACGTTCATTTAAATTGGAAGACAAGCATGACTGTGAGGTGTAGACCCAGCCACAAATCAGTACATTGGCATCACAAATTTGTGTGAGTGTCACAAGCCATTTGACTTAGTATGCCCTCCTGACACACATGAATTTATAGGTTTGAGAGAAAGACAAATGGTGACAAAGCATGACAATATTTTTAGATAATTTATATTCTACTGCTAGTGTGTATGCAGGGAGTAATACTTATTTTCATCTCTGGATTTCATGTAAATACTTGGATAAGACATGATGATTTAATATTAAGCTAAATACATGCTGGATAGGAAAAAGACTATAAAACCTTTAAATGTTCTTTAGGCATTCAAAAGCCATTGTCGTGAGTGATAAAAATGGGATATAATGTAAATTGGGATAGTAAATGTTACAAAGTATGTCCCAGAAGAATTACCAAAAGCTTCATTTTAAATTTACTTTGTCATTCTTTGTTCTCAATGTATTATATTTAAATATACATCTAAAAGCATTACTCTGAGTTCTTTCCTGGAGTTACAGAAAGTATTGGTATTTTGGTATATTTGGTAAAATATATTAATGACATGTATCTGTGGGTTTGCAAAACAACGTGAAAGACATTTGAGAGACTTATGAATAAATTTTATTGAGGTAATCACAGTCTCTCTGTCTCTCTCTGTGTAAGCTTTATTTGAACGGGGCTTTAATCACTAGTGAAATGAATGGCTGTTTATTAGAACTCAGATAAGCCTTGCAATGTTCCTATGACAACTGAGTAGCTGGGTGTTGATCTTTAGCTTTAAGATCTCAGTTCATAAATGTCATTCAAACCTTCTGTTGCAGTCTCTTTGAGTAGGAGGAGAAGGAGAAAGCATGAAGTGTCATAAGTAGGAAACACTGTATTCCTTTCATGTCTCCTTGACTTGCCTTTGTGTATGGGATCACCATGGAACATAGGTATTGAGGATAGCAATACTTAAATACAAAATCTTATGAGAAAAGTTGGGAGAGATAAGTACCAACATGGAATAATAAGTCAGCATACATGAAGTTGTGCACATCTTTGTCGAGCACTGAGCAGCAGTGAGAACATCTTGAACCAGTAATTGTAGGCTCTACAAGAGCTGCTAATATTCAAATGCAATGTGAAGAAAATTCTTTGGTAGGTGGCTTACCACTTTGGCATAGTATTCCTCTTCCCTAGGCTGACTACAGAAGATTCTGTGTTCTTGCAACATGCTTTTCAACCAACTGTGCATCTGCCATTTACTAGCTTATGTCTTTTTCCTATGAAATAGACAGGATTGCATTTTAGTCATAAACGTGAAGAAATTTCTTACATTAAAAAATTACTTTAAAAAGAGTTTTTGAGACCTGTTTATGGAAGTGAATTGGCAGACTGAGAATCTAGGAAACACTGAATCAGCAAGAGACTGTTTAGACTAATAATGTCCCTAGATTGATTATTCACTTGTGCATATTCCTTGCCTGAAGGCATTTTCTGTTCCCATTTTCTATTACTCAGTGTTTTTGGCAATTTATTTTATCAATAGTATCTTAAGAATTAGTGAGGGAAAGATTTCAGTAAGGTTTATCCCTTACTTAATAAATATAATTCTCCTATTTTTTTTCTCAATCCAAATGGTTCTAACTAGTGAGGGAAAATGTTTTTGTCACAAACTGATAGCAAGTCCTGACCTGAGCTTACAGGAGGCCACTTGTAGTCTTTATTTAGCTCAGTGGGTCCTTATGTTTTATCACAGAAATATTTGCATACTTGCTTTTAGAATAGAATGCCAGACCTCCCCTGTAGTTACATACATATGTGTATATATTAAGTAATCACCCTCTTTGTAAGATTTATAATAATCGGAGTGCCTCCTGCCAGATAAGGGTTTCTGACTCTTGAATTAACATTTATTGGACTCATGCTATGTGTTAGGTACTTTTCTAAATATATCCCTGGCATCTAGTACAGTGCTTGCCAGTTCCTGATAGTTACCCAGGAGATATATTTTAGTATCAAATATTTTACATGTATTAACTGAAAAGCCAGTAGATTTTTACTCCATTTTATGCAGAGAAAACTGCATAGAGAGGTGAAGCAAATTGCCCGAAATGACATAGAAGAGAATAATAGAGCAAGGCTTTACAAACACGGAAACCTGGCTGTGTCCGAGGGGTGTATCACCTGCTTTCTTCATTCTTGGTTATCCTATACCTAGTGGCATCAGAAGGTGATAATATCACCACTGTGGTTATTACTATGGTCCTGTGGGAAATTTTTTTTAAACTGGTCTGAGGTGGGATTATGGGAGTTTAAGGGATCTAACCTCTATCAGTGAATCAACCTGACTTCTTTAGTTGGTAAAAACTAAGAGAAAAAAATATTTTTTTAATCCCAAGGGAATTTACTTATACAGTTAGAAACAAAATTCTTCCATAGCTATTTTCTGGGACTTTTTTTTTTATTTTAACCCAGAAGGAAGTCTAGAATGTAAAGGGAGAAATGGTCACCTCAGGGAGTTATGCTGGGCACAGTAAGTGGCTCCAGGAAATTGAACTGCATTACTGAATCCTGAAAAGGAGTGCTTCTTAAAAATATGTCTAAGGTGGTTCTCTTGTACCTATGTGTTTCTAGTGATTAAAAAATTCTTCTCAGCCCTCCCCTGTTTTACTTCCTTGTCCTTCCATCCCCACTTAGGTTTTCTTTATAGCTCTTACTTCCTTTTGGCATATGGTGCATTTTATGTCCTTGCTTGACATTTTAGCCAACCACTCCTGGTATTGTTTGCTTTGAACAGACGGAAAGATTTTTAGATATGTATTTTGATCTCTGCTTTTAACTTCCCTTATGCTCATTTCAAACTACTGTAGATGAGGGGGGGGAATGTTTTGCTGACTCTTATTTTCCTTTCTTCCTTCCTCCATCCCTATCTCCCTCCTTCGCTCCCTCCCTCTCTTCCTTTCTTCCTTGTCTTTTGACACACAGGATTTCTCTGTGTATCTCTTGGCTGGCTGTCCTGGAACTTGCTCTGTAGACCAGGCTGGCCTTAAAGTTACAGAGATCTGCCTGTCTCTGCCTTCTGAGTGCCATGTTTAGTCTGACACCAACTTTTTTTTTTTGCTATTACTTACCATTTTATATTAATAGTTCTGAAAACTTATTTCTTCTAAAAAAACCATGTAGATTTCATGGTCAAGGTTTGGAGAACAGATGTTTTTATTTAGAAGGGGAAACTGAACCAGTTTCAAATGGACTTACTAGGTATATATTTTTTAAATTTAGAAATGAGATGATTGGCCATTTATTTTCTTGCTATCAAGGAGAGTAAATATTAAGGAGAATATGCACAGTAAAATCATTTTATGAACTACTTTTGACTTATAAAGATGGGCAGCAAAATTAGAACATGTATTTCAGGTAAAATATCAACACTTACCTACTAAACTGCCCTTGTTTCTTTGGAAAATAGTCAAAATAAAACAATTGCTATAATACTATATATTAAAAATGGAAGTGACTTAATATTAACATCTTCTAGTTCAAATCCTTAGGATTCCATGCTATAACTTAATCTCTCACTACTCCATTTATTCTAATTTATACATTCTAAAGTGTGTAGACTAATGTAAGACATAAGGCATACCATATATGCTATTAGCTGTAAATTATG